AGTAATATATTTATTAAATAAATTTTCATTTTAATAATAAAGAATTCTGAATTTAATAATAAAAATCATTAAATAATAATATTTAATGAAATAAGTTAATTTAATAAATTTACATCATTAAACAATGATATTTAATGATCTATATCATTAAACAATAATATTTAATGATTTATATCATTAAATAATAATATTTAACAAATTTATATCATTAAATAATGATATTTAATGATCTATATCATTAAATAATGATATTTAATAATCTAGTCCATTAAACAATAATATTTAATGATATACATCATAAAATAATGATATTTAACAATATATATTATAAAATAATGATATTTAATATTATAAAATAATGATATTTAATATTATAAAATAATGATATTTAATGATATACTTTGTTAAACAATAATATTTAATAATATACTTTATTAAATAATATATATTGATGATTCTGATATATATTGATATATATTAAATATCTATTTTGATATGCATCAATAACTCCAATATATATCAATATATAACTAATGATAAAAATCAATACAAATCACCCCAAAAAATTTCCTGATGATCACAATTACTTCTGTTTCATAAAATAAAAAAAATGAATACTCTGATAAATACTATTATCTTGCTTTAATGAAGAAAGCTAAATAATTTGTAATCTTATTTTCTATCTAATCTGTGATTATTTTACAGGATAACAAAGTCAAGATTCCTCTTAATATTCCTGCAGTTGGAAAAATCTTTCAAACTATACAAAGTTCTCAAGAGTTAATTACATTACCAGATCATGATTTTCCAATTGACATGTAGTAAAAGTTGATTTCATCAGTCTATTTACTAATAAATCTAAGTGATATAAATGATATCTTTCACAATGATCAACTATTAATTTTTATCTATCTATAATATGAAGTTGATACAAGCTCTGTCACTCATATGAATAACTTAAATTTATTGATGCAAGATACCCACTTTGATAGAATATTAAAAACCAATGGCCAGATCAAACCTATCTGAATTCTTTTAGTTAATGGAGATCCAGATGAAAATTCTTATCATATGAAAAATATCTTTGAATATTGTAGAATATTTCACGTATTTGATCTTAATTATCTTTCAGTTAAAACACATGTTCCTGGTTAATTAGCATATAATCCAGTTGAATATAATATGACAATATTTTCTTGAAAACTTGCTAGAATAACATTATTGATTGACAAATATAGTTCCTATCTTAATTCTCAAGACCGAGTAATTGATTTAAAGCTTGTAATGAAAAACTTTTATTATGCTAGAGAGATCTTGTGTACTCTTTGGATATGGAATCCTATCTTTGGAAAGGCTATTATAGCACAATATACTAATCAAAAAAACTCTCCTTTTGCTAATATCATATTTTTAGAGCATGCTAAAGAAAATATCAATGAATCTATATCTTGGCAATAGCTAGAAAATCATATCAAAATATGTTAATACTTTTTTAACATCAAAAAATATGAAAATACTTTTTATTACTTATATAAATGATATGAAGAGGTAGCTATTCTTCTTGCTGAAAATAATGAATTTCTTTCACCTGTGATAAAAGAAAAAGATGGTCATTACTTGAATCCACTTCATATATTAGAGTATTGTGACAAGATTAAAATACCTGGATATGATACTCACTATTCTTCAAATACAAGTAATTATATTCATCTCTGCTATTCCATTTGCAACATATATTTTTTAACACTTTCATTGGTTGCACTACACAAGAAAAATCAACATTCAAGATGATAAGAATGACTAGCTAAGCAAAAGTGACCTATTAATTTAATTGATAATTTTTCTGTTGATTCTAGACAAGTACTAACCTCACAAAGTTATAAGATATTTTCAGAAGAAAAGTAAGAAGACAGCCAAATTTTTTATAATCTGAAGCTTTAGAAAGTTTCATAATTAAAGAATAAAAACTATAATCTGATATATTTCTATATTCTAATTGGCTAATAAATCATGTGCCATTTAAAGTCGTGAGATTTTGATATTTCTATGTTCTAATTGGCTAATAAAAATTCAAAATCACATGCCATATAAAATCACGTGAGACATGAGATTTTGAACTCCCCTTTCATAATGACGTAATATATATCCATCCTCTTATTAAACTAGAATTTATATTAATTTCCATCAAATTCTGGTAAAAACAAATTATCGATTTACATGGCCCATTTGTAGCAACGAGACATTGTATGTTTGGATATATCTTCGCCGGTAACGATTCAATCTTCGGCATCACCATCCATTTTATTTAAAACACCTGCTAAAAAGATGAGTTGTATGCAATACTGGTGATTGAGCAGAAATGCTAATAATTTGTTTTTGACTTAAATAAACGATAATCTTTAAAATCCTTGTTTTTTAGACTTTTGACAAATTGATAATCGCCCTGGATTTCTCAGGTTTCTTTCGTTTTGGAGTTAAATTCTTGTAATTTTTCAGGAGAACGATGTATCTGAATTAAATAACGTTTCTATTTAATTATGGGTAATTAGATGGTCGAATATTCTTTTATATAATATATAGCATTAATAAGTACACTCAATGGAAGAATTAATATAATACAGATATAAAGATTAAATTAATTAATGATAAATGCAAAATGAAATGACGTACAAACTTAGAAACCTTTTTAAAAGAATATTGATGTAATATTATTTTTTTCCATTTTCTGTCCGTTGTAGCTCTTTTCGTTGGTCATCCGCTTTTGAAAAAATCGACGTAATAAATGATGATTGTTGTTCATTAAGATTTTTAGTCAATAGGTTATATGATGCAGGATTATGTTGTTGAAGCCCTATATATATATATATATATATATATGAATATATAAACTAGTTTTCCCAAACTAATAATCCAAAAAAATAAAAAAATAATATAGCACCTATGAATACTTCTTGGAATCTAATGTATACATCTATGTCGTCTAAAGGTGATTCAAATAACGCCTCTTCTTCCATATCTTGATCAGTTTCCTCATCTTGTTCATTAGCGTGTTTAGTGGCCTTTAATAATAATGGTTAATTAATTTGCATAATAATAATCAATTGTAAATGTATCGACAGAATTCGTAACATTAGCAGTAGAATTAACCTCTTCATTTAGGAATTCCAGATATTCAGTATCTTCATCTCGCACATCTTCGTCATCTTGTAAATAACAGTATAATTAAAATATTGATAAATGTCATATAGACGTAAATAAGGAAGATAAAGTACCTTCAATGTCCTCATACTCCTCATCATCCTCTTCGTCCTCTTTATCTTCGTCACCATTTAGTTTTGCAACATTTGTATCATCGTCAGAGTCTGTGTTTTCAAAGTACCTTTTTATCTCTTGCCGAGCTATACCAAAAAATAATTATAATCAGGTTATATATTTATCTCAACGAATTAAATAGTTTTGCTTGTAATCATTATATGACGACGAAGATGATGTTGCTGTTGATAATGATTTATTATATAAAATTTACCAGCTTCTGCCTTTGGTAAAGTTTTAAATGTACTCAAAATTCCCTCAAGAACTTGAGGCCATACAGCGAGTAAAGCAGAAGGCAATTGCTCCATCGGGATTTCAATCAAGGAACACAAAGTCACTATAACTAGTTTTTTATCGTGAACACGAGTAAATTTGTCGAGATTATTAAACCATATCGTGAAAAATCCTTGTGTGAAACCGCGTTCTTCAAGAATGCGTAGTGTGATTAGAGGATTGTAGAATAGAGCGTTTACTACCTAAATAGAGGGGATTGATAATAGTTAAAGAGGGAACCAAGAAATATCTTCATTCCGGACACAAAGAATGAAATACATACGACTTCTATACAATACACTTTAAACGCAACACTTGATATTTCCTCTATTTGGCCAAGAAATTCAAAAGAAAGAGCAAGAAATAGTTCAACGTACTAGAAAGAAAAAAAATATAAAATAAATAACTTAAAAGTCATAAATGTAAAGTAATAACTCAATATAGTTAAAACAAACATGATCCACATGACCACGGCAATTAAGCAAAACGGATTCAATAAGCTTGCATGCAGAGACGCGATCAGTCTCGCCTAATCGATCACTTTTCATTACCTAATGCACAAAAAAAATTATATTTTTTATGAGCAAGAACTATTAAGATAAAGCATATACACGCATACCGTTTCGATAATGTCATAGATCTTGGCCTGCAGATTTGGATTCTGTACAAAGACTTCTGTTCCATATGAGATATAATTGTCCAATGGGGGCAGCATTTCTAATAAGTTGTTTAAAGCTTTAGATTATGCACCTATGTATAGTCAGATATGTTACCACAATATTAATAATAATACCTTCCAGGTAGTCAATACCAGAAGTTTTAAACGTCTGATAAATCAATTCAAACACACTCCACATTGTCGGCGATATTTGTTTGGTTGAAAATGTGCAACTATCGATAATATCAAATACTTCGTCATATAAATCTATAACAATGGAAATTTTATACAAGTTTAGTAGAACAGTAGTTTTAAATTGCAGAAAAATACTGCTACTTACCAACCAATCCCTTCTGTAATGTATATGTGATGACTGGCAATAGTGTATTTTGTAATTCGGATGATACCTCGGGTGTAGTATCCAAACTTAGAATTAAGGTGCTTATTGTTTTTAGCAATCCAGTTGCTGCCATGGTTTTGTCATTCGCTACATCATCAAAGTCTACTGCACCCAAGCCATCATCATCGATATTGTATGATGTGTCTTCTAAGTCTTTTAAAAGACGTAGGAATGTATTGCGCTAATGATAATTAAATAACATACACGTCAATGCTCTGCTTCTACAACCAAATGACAAGTGTTTGGCTTTCTTACCAATTGCTCACATAACTGTACTGCGAAAGGCGTCAGTTCTGCTGAGAATACTTCAACAAATTCTTCCGTGACAGTTGTTAGTGTATCAAGATCAATTTGATTTGTTAAATTCAATAATTCTGCAAATTGAATTTCATAAGCAAATTAAATTATTATAATATAGAACTTAACAAAAGTATAATTTTCATACCTTGCATAACCATTTGTAAATTAGGAACCAACGCATCTTTAACTTTTTATATTATTAAATAAAAATATGTCATGATATTTATATATCAAAAATATTTTAAAATAAATTTTTTACAATATTTATTATTATAACGAATAATTACCGAAATCATGGTGTAGTAAACTTTGCAATCCTAATGCGGCTTGTACTTTAACAGGTAATTCAGGATCTTGCATACACCCAGTGATTCCTTGAAATGCCGTAACAAGATTTGACTGGTTTTGGAATTCAAGATTGCTAAATTTGATCAAAGTGTCACATGCCTATAGTCGAAATCATATATATTAACAAATAAAAATTATAAAAAATGGATTAAATGAAATAGAGACTAAAAGTTTTAATTTACCCTAGCCCTCAAGAAAGGATATTGACTTCGAAATTCCGGGAACACATGTGTCGTAAAAAACCCTTCCATCAAGTGTGCCATATCAGATTTTTTACGCAACACCATGTCTGCAAGACATCCAACCATACTCAAAGCACCGTCCTTGGCACGAGGATCTTTAGCTTCAGGTGAAGCTTCGAGATACGTGTTCAAAACACTGTTGACAAAGCTTAGAATTCCGGTAAAGGTATATTTTTTTCGGTATTTTGCCAAATCCATAAGTAAAGTGGTAGCAACTATCGATGGGGAGGTTAAATCTTCAAATGGGTCAATTTTCTTGTGTATGTATTCAACGGGGTCTTCGTCCCATAGCTCTTGATCCAGTTCAGAGAAACATAGTTGAGGAAATATAAATTCTGAAACTATTTTTCCACTATGTGCTTTAAATATTTGCCATGTTGTTTTGTGGGTTATACTTTGATTTATAGAGAAATAGAGATAAGAGACGCGTACAAATATATTTTTTGGACCAAATAGCACGATTTACTTACGCATCTTTATAAAAATCCGCCAAATAAAACAATGCTTTATTACTAAGCCACTGTTTTTTTTGAATCCATAAATCGGTTTGTTGTAAATACTCGCGAAGAATCTGCGGCGCAAAATTATGCACAAAATTCTCAGCGAATGCTTTATATTCTTTGGAGGTCTTGGGAAGTTGTGCAGGGTTTCCATATCTTGAAAATAAACGATTCAGAATGCGAAATGCCCACTTTTTCACTTTCCACCATGGATAAGATTCACGATCTTCAAAATCTTCAGGTAACGAGGTTTCAGGTAACGGTTTCGCGATCATTTGCATGAATATTGTGCACCAAGGTATCAGCGAGTTGTTATCTTGTAATGTTGCAATTAATTCGTACTGAAATTAGAAACGATGTAAATGATTCAATAGTTTCGTATAATAAACAGAGTAATAAGCTACTAATTTGTACCTGAATCACCGAATTATAAATTTTGAATATGACTTTTAACATTTCGGCCGCATCTACACTATTTTCATTAACAAGATTTTGGGCAATCTGAAGGATCGCCGGAAATGTGGTCTGAATTATTTCTACGAGCGGACCTCGTAATTCATGGGTTTTCCATCTAATTAAACAATATGGTGATTAAACAACAACAATAACCACTAAACTATCATCAATACCACCACTCACTGGAATACTTTAACGACTTGAAACAAAGACAATAGTCCAATATAGACCACACGTGGATCATTTGACGCGACAAGCGAGTGAACTTGGTTCATGTAATCTGGCCAGTTTTCCGGAAAATCGTAAGTTAACACATTATTCAAACATTCAAGAAGTTGTATTCTGCAATAGTAATAATTGTGAATTACAAATATTTTATAATTTAAGAATGCGTTTAATTATCTTTTCTCTAACCTTACTACATTTTGTGTATTTACAAGTATCTGTAATATCATGCGTTTAAATGTTTCGCGATCGTCCTTCGAAATTGGGATAGCGCTACTGGATTGTGTTTCGCTATCGGTATTCCATGATTTTCGAATCCGATTCTTGAGATATATCGCAACTATAAGAATTAGAATCCACGCGTAAATAAAATACTTTGTTTTTTTGAGTGACACACATGAATGATTACGTTTTTCCAAGAAAATAACCAAGCGGCCATCATTTCGCTTATTTTTTATTGTAAAATACAAAATCTTATTTAATTTGTTTAAATTATGAATTTTTTGTTTATGACTAACTAAAAATATTTATTGGATTATCAATCTTAAATTGCAGTTTTCCAACTTTAAATATTCTGAAAAAAACTTCTAAAATATGACATATGAAAAAAAAACTAATACGAAAATTAGTTTTTGTATATAACATACTTGCTTGTCGTGCCCCAAGTTCCAACTCTTCAGAGCCCACTAACTGTATAAGAATTGGAAAGAACTCAGGTGTTGTTTCAACCTGAAGAAACAATTACTTAGTTTTGGTGGAAATTGAGTAGTATTACGAGGCAAACACGCAAATGTGCCAAAGGTACTCGTACCTGTTTTATTTGTAACTCGGCTTGCTTTCGTATATTACGATCGGAATGATAGGACGCGCTAAAGAGCTGATAAATGGTATGTGCGTTCATAATTTCAAAAATTCAACTATCTACGATATACGCGCGAAAATTTTTGTACAGTCGACCCTCTATATAATCACACTCTCGGGAACAGGGAAATGGGTGACTATAAAGAGGTTGTGACTATATGGAGGTAAATTTCTTCAGAGCAGGTGTGACTATATTATTGGTGGCAATGATCAACAAGAGATTGGTCACATAACGATAAACTATTTTTAGTCGTCGCTGAAACTTATTCTCTGTTAACCCGTCGATTTTTCGGAAATGGCAGCTACTACTACTACAGATCAGCAAATAAGACCAGCGACATCACCACCTCCACAACCGCCGCCACCACCACCAACGCAACAAGATCTCGATGAAACTGTTTTGAAATACCTTACGCTCAAAGGTTACATGCAAACAGAACAAATGTTAAGACACGAATCTAGATCTCGTGCACAGTCTCTTAGCGAAAATTCCGCGTTTCCAAACTACATTCTCTATTATAACGATGCGACAATCACTAACCCCGAGATTTATCATTCCCAGTATGGGAGCTTTCGTGCCTGGATTGATAATTCATTAGATACATACAAGGTTTATTCATTTCCGAATTCATATATTTTATTAAATTATACATTAACTATTATGTTCCAATAATTAATTTCTACAGTTAGAATTGAGGGCAATTCTTTTTCCCGTGTTTGTGCATGTTTATCTTGATCTTGTTGTCAAAGGCTTTAGTGCCGAAGGTTTTCTTTTTTTAATTGAACTGAATTATTGCACTTTCTTATTTATTACCAATATATTAAACGCTCATATCATTATATTTTCTGAAATAATAGCTACTCATTTTATGGAAACATTTAAATCCGACCATTTAGAGTTTCATTCTCTACAAATCAACAAAATCAGTGTGATCACACATCCTCAGCATGTACAAGAGAACGAGATTGCGCAAAATTTCAGAAATAACAAATATAATCTGCACTTATCCGATACTGTGTTAGGATTATGCATGAATTATCTGCAGGAAAACAAATTCAATGTTTTACTGAGAATTATCAATCAATATTTGAATGTAAAAAGTATATATTTGTATATTTTGACGGAATTAATGAAACTCAACTAATTATACATAATGTATTGATAGCAGAAATAGGTCATCAATTAAACACTTCATTACCCGAACTTGATCAAGCCAATGGAATCTCGGGACATACGTTCGATGAACTTGAGCAACTCAATAAGCAAAAAGTCTATCTGGGTCCAAGGCCTATGGATTCCCAGCTACGTGAAGAGATTGAAACAATTCTAAAGGAAGAAGAATCTCCTCTTCAAACAATCTATGTTAATAAGGTTTCTTGTTGTTTATCATATAATATGCATGTATCTGTTGATCTTTGAATATTATCGTTAATGTGTTCGTATGTAGTTCGATGATCCTATGCCAAGCCCGTCTCTTTTGCGAGAACTCAACGAGAGGATATCTAGGGAGCAGAGCTACGAAGGGTCTGAGCGAGGAGAAATTCCTTTTCCACCACAGTAGGTTCAGCTCTAGTGATTACTACAATCAGAATTGCCAGGTTTCACAATTTTTAGCGCTGACAATGGGGCGTTCAGCAAAGGTGTTGACGTTCAAGCTGAAATCGCTGCACTCAACGATATAAGAAACAGAATCACGTTAGGTCCAACTACCACGTTACCTTCTATCTGTTTTTATACTTTTCATAATACTTACGATAGGTAATGATTTGATTCTATTGTTATTTATTTCGAACCTCATGCTTAGATGTGTTACTTAGTGCTTTTACATATAAAATAGCTTAAATTGTATATCCATATCCAAAGATGCTTCTCTTATAGCTGGTGGTTTTGCAGAGTCTTATATTAAGATATGGAGCCTAAACGGAGAAAAAACAAAAGCACTCCGAAATAATATCAAACCAAACTATGTAAATGGATGTAGGTTTCTGCAAAATTGACAAATTCTTTCTCCATTAGACATTAATTAAACTCGATGCTATTATAATCAGCGGCGTTTGATCTTGAACGATTTAGAGAAAAAGAGGGTAGTGAATTTAAGCGATTAACCGGTCATTCTGGGCCCGTTTTCGGACTAAGTTTCAGTCCTGATAGGAGATATCTGGTATCATGCTCCGAAGACAAGACTGGTATGGACCTAACCGACGATCATATTAGACATTTTATTAATATTTATTAATAGAGAATTTTTTTATCCCAAGTAGCTCGCCTTTGGAGCACAGATACGTACACGAATCTTGTTTGCTATAAAGGACATAACTATTCTATTTGGGATATAGATTTTTGCCCTTTAGGATTTTATTTTGCCACAGCCTCTCATGATCGAACGGCAAGGCTGTGGAGTTGTGATCAAATTTTCCAATTGAGAATTTTCGCTGGCCATTTATCAGATGTAGACGTGAGTACTGAAGAGAATTTTTTTATCTCTGATATTCATTTTTTATAATAATAAATGTTACTATGATAATAATCTAGACAGTAAAATTCCATCCCAATGCGAGATATATTTTCACCGGATCGAGTGATAGAACTGTTCGCATGTGGGATATTCAAGAAGGTGAAACTGTTCGCGTATTCTCTGGGCACACTGGTACCATTTATTGTTTGGCCGTATCTGATGATGGAAAACTATTGGCTTCCGCAGGTAAAATACTTGCGACATGGGAGGAGCAGATACTTTGCCATCTTTATCAATTAATTTGTCATTTTCGGATTTTCTTTGATAGGAGAAGATAAGACTATCAAGATTTGGGATCTTGGGTCCGGTAAATGCATTAAAACAATGAAAGGTCATCAAAGAATTATCTATTCATTGGATTTTAGCAAAGAACGTAGTATACTCGTGTCTGGGAGTGCTGATTCTACTGTTCGTGTGTGGGATGTGAACAAAGGGATTACAACGGAAATAAATGATAGTCCTGAAACATTGATAAACAGGATTCAAATGGAAGAGAGTTCTACAGTAAATCCTGTCAACGAACGAGCAAAACATGCCGAAGAAAATTTACACAGGTATCTTTGCTGTAATTAAAAAAATGCTTAGTTTTAATTATCTATTAGTACTTGTCGGCTAAAGAACTGTATATATTTGCTTTGTGCTTGATAGCGATGATCTCATCTCGACCTTTCCAACAAAACGCACTCCAGTATATAAAGTGTTATTTACGCCGCGAAATCTATGTTTAGGTGCTGGGTCTTTTGTCGCTAGTGATCTTTAGCAAGGTTTTTACGATCATTCTCATATGTAATAATTTTCATGTATTACTTTGTTCACGCGTTAGCACGATAAACATATTGAATATTACTCTTGATTCAAATTTTCAAAAGTAATTATACAAATTTTTTTAAAACAACAATTAGAAAATTATACTCTAATTAATAATAATAAATAATTTCAATATTGAATAAAATGATCTTAAGACTCAAAAACATCTTTGTTATTTATAGAACGCTATCTTTTGGCTATTATATAACAGAATTGTCTTTGCAGATTATTAATACAAATTTGAGATTTATTATATTGAATCCAGTTTCAATTAGTAAAGCTGAAAGATTTTTAATATAATCAGAATTATTTATAATTATTACTATAAGATATATACAAAATATAATTTTTTTTATAATAATATTATTAATAAAATTTAAAATTTTTAATTTAAATAAAAAGAGAGATATTTATTATTTATATATATAGTGATTATCAAAAGTAATATAATACTTAAATTTTTTACTAATTATAATTAATAAAAAATTTAAGTATTATATTACTTTTGATAATTATTATAGATATTAAGCTAAATTACTATTTTTTATTAAAAAAAAGATCAAATTAAACTTATTAATTTATTAAATCTAATAAAATTAAAATAAAATAATATTTATTTATTAAAAATTATATTAAATACTGTAAATTATTTTTTTATAAAAATAAATATAATATTAATTTAAATAATATATAAAATAAATAATTAATCTAATAATTAAATTTAATAATAATTATTAAATAATATATTTATAAAAATTATTAAGAAAGAGTTATCAAATTCAAGATAATATCATAATTAGTTATAACTTAATTATAATTCTCTAATTAATTATTATAATTAATTATAATTAAATTATAATTTTCTAATTAGTTATTATAAGTTATAATTAATTAAGATATTATCTCTAGTCTTAATTATATATTATTTTTATATTAAATATCCTATTTTTATTATAATTTTTTTCTAAGCTAATAAAATTTATATTATTATGATCTGATGCATTAATATTATTACTATTTTAAGATTATGCGTATATAATTATTTTAAAATGGTAATAGTAACTATATTTATGATAGTTATTTACTTTTATAATTTCAGAGATTATATAACTGATTATTTTTTCAATAAGATGATGTATACAAGATTTACTTCTAATAAAATATGATTATCTTCTTAATAAGATAATTTATATGTGTTTTATTTATAATAAAAATATGATTATCTTCTCAATAAGATAATATATATGAATTTACTTCTGATCAAAATGCTCTCTCAATAGAGCAAGAAGAAAATAAGATAAGATATAAGATAAAATATGTGTGTTTATTAAAGAAAAA